CCCCACACCCACACTCACCCGCACCACACCCACATCCAGGCCCACACCCACAGGCCCACACCCACACCCCACACCCTCTAGTAAGACCATATGCACCATCAAATGTTAATGGGCATTCATCAACAATCTTTCTGCATGAATTGCGTTTATATTTCTTTTGTTCTTCATTTACATGTTGATCCTGAAAAAAAACCGTAATGAATATTTAAATACAATGCAGGATTCATTTCATATAAAATGAAACTAGTGTAGACGTATCCAACGACTTCGAGCTTTTCATTACTTGAGGGTGGATGTAGGATATGGGTTGTGGGTGTGTAATCAAGAAAACCCATGCCCACACCCACACCCACACCCACACCCACACCCACACCTACACCCACACCTACACCTACACCCACACCCACACCCACACCCGCACCCGCACCCACACCCACACTCACACTCACACTCACACTCACACTCACACCCACGCCCACACCCACGCCCACACCCACACCCACACTCACATCCATACTCACACACACACCCCACACTCACCCGCAAGAAGCGAACCTTGCCACTTGCCACTATCCGCGAGCATCTTCGCATAATTTTGAAAGATTTAGTTGGTCGAACAGAAAGAAATCATTCTCAATGTAAGATAGGCAACGTCTTTGACGCTCAAGAAACAAATGCTTATGTAAAAATCAACGCTTACAGTGATTTGCGCGCAAGAAAATCCCATAATGCTGAATAAGACAGTTTCATGTGCCTTGGTAATCAAAGATTCCTACAAATTGAATGTTTGTTGTTTATGGCACGAATCCTTTACAATTTTACCCACCCGAATATTGATTTAAAAAGTAAGAAGCCGTTAAAATGTCGATGAGCTTTTTTCTTGTTCGAAAAAATCCACTTTACTTCTCATAGGAATAGTGAGAGAGAGCGAGAACAACAATCGGTTATTGTCGTACGCAGAATAGCAGTCAGCGACTTTTAATTTTTCATTTGACGACGAAAATATTCTTCTGCAAGCTGAACAGACGAAAATCAGTGTTCGAAACGTGGAAAGATGTTATATATTTTACTGCTAGAATGATTTTTTGCCTTCCTCCATATCTTTGGTCACTCGATCTTCATTTGTTTGTTACAGTAATTGCCATAAGTAGCCGCGATTGAAAAAATGAGGAAGACAAAGGAGTTATTTGATTATATTTTATTTATGAAATCTACATTATATGTGCATCATCCTCATAATTAGTATAATCGCTTTTTCTTTCAATTAAAAGTACTACTCTATTTTCAATAGGGTCGCCTAATTTTTTAGCAAATTCAGTAGCTAAGTTTCTCTATTCTTTTGTTTATTCTTTCAATGAAATTATTGATCGACATATATGGTTCTTTGTTTATTCTGAGCTTCACTAATGCCCAGACACTTTCACTTTGGTTACAGTTTTTGAGTTTTATATTCTGCTGGGATCTTTTTTAAAATACCGTCACTTGTAAGCAATGGTTTCGATGTCCATCTCATTGAATGTACACCAGCCTCTTCAAATCTTCTTCTCAATATGGTTTTACTAATTTTTATATCTTTCTGTGATAATCTAAACGCAATTTGACCGACAGATTCGATTAAATGTTGAGCCACCATGGATTGAATCGCTGCGTATTGTTTTTCCGGTATAGACCGGATTTTTGTGCAACTTATACGTCACCAGCTATTTCATACCTTCTAAGCCTACATTTTACAATTACCCACTCATTCGTATAGATGCTGTGAAATATCACCATTAGACATATGTGGGGAACAGCTCTGCCTTTATAGAAAGATAATTTCTCGTATTTTCCTTAAAAAAAGGTTCATTTTCTATTGAGTTATAAAATGATAACAGAATGAATACAAATGTTCCTATTTATACCGGATGATGAGCCCGACTAGCCCGTTCAAACAAAGCAAAAAGATAAAATAAAAAGTCATTGTTGAACAAGAAAAAGAGGTCGTGGCCACTTATGGCGAGTACTGTACATCAAAAATGAGTCTTCTGCGAGACAGATCCTTTCAGAACATAGTCCCTGTAAAAAATCTAACCAGGGAACATTTTCAACTGTCCAATCGCTTTTTTGATGAAACCTACTCACTTATAGACTATCGGGTATGCTGATTTCGAGTATGGGCATGAAAAACGCTCTTAGGCCTTCTCTTCAGACTTATGGATATTTCACTACAATTTTAGCCGCTGGTGCGGTAAATGCCAACAAATCGAATGACAATATTTCGGGCTGCTATTTTGCCTACGAATAGGCCCATCAATGGGCAACATGTCCTGAAAATTTCAGCTCAGAAATTCTTTCGTTTCTGATATATTGAAATCCAAAAAAAAGGAGAACATTCTAGCTTTTTTCGTGAGATATGAGTTAGTTTTGGCATTTTGATATCTCGGGAAGAAAAAGTTTTTTTAGCTGAAATTTTCAGGATATTTTGCACACTAATGGGTCTCTTCATGAGGAAAATTTCAGCTCAAAATACTGTCATTCGATATATTGCTCTATACCCTACAATAGGCTAAAATTGAGTAAAATGCCCATAACTCTGAAGCGAAGGCCTGCGAGCGTCTATCATGCCCACATTCGAAATCAGCGTAGTGAATAACCTTAAATCAAGTAGGTTTCATTAAAAAAACAATTGGGCAGTTGAAAATGTCCTCTAGTGATTGTGCATAGAAAAGATGGGCGTCTGTCCATAGTCGAATGATTATGAATTGCCTACTATTCTATTAAGCAGCATCTTATTTATCCATTTCAAATCTATTGAGAAAGAGACATGTCCTGCAAGTGTATGGCAGCTATTTGTCCGACTATCTTGAAGGAATGCCATCGACCGCATTAGGGAGCCTGCTCATAGCAGATGAGAAAGGTTACGGTATCTTCTCTCGCGACGAAAAGAAAATAGCTTATTTGTCGGTGTATCTTTGCCGTGTGTGTCTGTGGATATGGGTACGAGTGTCGGTGTGGATATGGGTTTCAGTGTTGTTCATCACTTAATGATCACCCACACCCACACCCACCCTACCCATACCCACACCCCACACCCACACCCACCCTACCCATACCCACACCCCACACCCACACCCACCCTACCCATACCCACACCCACACCCACACCCTCGATTATGGTTTTTGATACACACTGTTTAACCAAAACAATAAGAAAAGAAATTGATCATGTACCAAAAAATTATCTCGTTCTCAGCAACAAAAATTAGTCGCACAGAAATTCGTCCATTTTGAAGAAAAAGTGCAACTACAGTATGAGCTGGTCCTTGGAAATTGTGGAACTTTTCATACGCCATCTTGTGATATACTCTCTTTTCTTTTTAGTAAAGTATATCAAGCAATAAAAAGATGAAATAAGAAAAAGAACTAATTCATCGTGCACGAAAACATTATTTTTTCGAAGGGTCAAAAATTAATGGCCCAGAATTTCGCTCATTTTCAAAACAAAAAGTGCAATTGTAAAATAGGCTGTCTTTTGTGGGCTGTAGAGCTTTTCATGCTGCATCTTTTGGTGTATCTTGTTTTTTTAATACAATGGCTGAGGTGATGAAAAAATGAATTGGAAAAAGAAACTTTTCTTTGTCCAAGGGAGAGTGTATTCTTATATGATCAAAAAGATTGCATCACCATGTCAATTTTACCAGAAGTTTGACGAAAAAGAAGTACAAAAACATTGATAGTATCTTAGCTAGTCGCTTCATGCAGTAATCATTGTAAAAGTTACAGATTCTGCCATTCCCTTAGACTATCATAATCACAAGGATGTAGCCGAACCGATTCAATTAAAAGAACTGAGGAAAAGAAGCTTTTGATCGGTCATTAGGGGATGCCAACCACGCAGAGTGACTCTGGCTAAATCATAATGCATAATAATTGTCATAGAGTGTATCAGTCTATTCATCAATTTCCGATGTTGATGGCTACAATTTCTAGTTCTGAAGCAACTACATGCATCGTAGCATATTTGCGGAACAATCTTCTATCTTACAGACTTACAACTAAAAATTTCGCCTCAGACAGCATTGACTGAAATCAACGACAAAGAACGCCAAGTCATGCATCAATTTATGAGTTTGAGATCAAAGTTTACCCTATTGCTGGAGATTGTAGATGCGGTTCTGTGAAAGTTGCACTTCTGATAACGAAATCCACAGCCACATAGTTTTTTATTCGAAATATTTCTACTCGGTAACCGTGTATAGGATGGGCGTGGGTGTGAGGTGTGAGTGTGTTTGAGTTAAGAGAGGATACCCACCCATATCCACCCTGAGTTGCTGAATCAAACAAGATGAGTTTAATTGTCTCAGGATTTATTGAAGAAAGCCGTGCTGAACAGCTAAGCTTCTAGAAGTGAATTAGGGCCCTATAAAAAACGGATGTAACTATTATCGACTTCAGTATTCGTATTGGAAGAAATGCAGAAAGTTCAAGAAACAGTGAGGAATTACTGCGTGCGAAGATTAGACACCAGCATGTTCTAATAAAGTAAGATAAATGTTATTAAGGACAGAAAACAGAAGGAAGTTTTTCCGCTGATTATTTTCCACAAGAGGTGTAGGTAAATACGATTACTGGCAGTAACTTCCGCTGGAGAAACATGTCTTTGTTAAATCAATTCAACAAGGACTTTGATCAAAGAAAAGTATACAGTCAGACGAATTGATTCAGTGTATTTCTATCTGAAAAGTGAAGAAGCACCTATATTTAACAGGCGCTATCGAAGGTGTAGCTCATTTACAGATCAAATGAGTACGATGGTAATGAATACAACTATTTTTGTTAGGATTCTTATACAGAAAAAGAATAGAATTTTGTGAAATGCCGAAGTAGAATAAATTTCGTGCATCACGTAAAGCTAATCGGTTCTATTTCAGTTTCAGATTAAAAAAGATAATATAGAGCTACATAGAAAGACAGTAACGCTCTCGAACCAAAGAAGACCGAATAATATTCATGAGTGCACAAGCATCGGCAACTACTGACCCTTCAACGCGCGTCGAATGGATGTGGCAATCGAACCCAAAACCATGGTCGACGACCGAGAAACCAGAATGGAGTCATTATTCAGATGTCGAAGATCTCATTATTGAAGAAGCATTTTTGAATAATCAAACTCATGCCATTCTGGATGGACATTGTATTGATGTTAAGCATCTTGTCCAAATTTCCGACAATGACAAGAACAAACAAAGGCCTGTCAAACGACTCGTGTGCAAAAAAGAAGAGACACGATTACGACAGGATCGTTTCTTGCCCGATCCTATAGCTCCAAAACGACCTTTCGGGGGCCAGTACGGGTGGGTTTCACCCTTCATATTAGAGGTGAGAAAGAGCTTGAACCTTGGCGAGAAACAATTACCTTCCAAAGACGAAACCATCGTGCCGATGATTGTTGAAAAGGCTGCTCTCGGTATCATTGAAGAAGGCAAGTTAATTGGAAGGCGAATAGCAGCAGAAAGGATGGCCAAAGAATTGATGATCCAGCAAAAAAATGGAATCAAGGAAATCTGGAAGTGCTGTGCTCGTTTATACACAATGGAAGAATTTTTATACAAAAAATTAAATGAAGCTATGAGATTGATAGGTAGTGAAGAACAAGAGCAAGTCTGGCGGAGTAAAATCCGAACATTGGGACCCTTTTGTTTACTCCTGTGGGATAATCCATTTAACAATAAACTGAACAAGAATATGGAGCTTTATCGAGGGGCAGCACTAACAGAGAACCAAATTGCCACCTATCAAGACTTGACTGCGCATCCTGATGAATATCGCTCATTCCAAGCGTTTACATCTTGCAGTCGAAATCGTGAATTAGCAGAAATAAGAGGGAACGTTTTGTTCATCATTAAAGTAGAGTACGCTTTTACCGTCGACCTTAGTGGACTATCGGTAATCCGTGACGAAGAAGAAGAGCTTATAACTCCAGGTGTATGTTTCAGTGTGCAGAAAATGGAGTTTGACAATGCTAAAAAGAAACACATGATTTATTTGCAGCTAAGACAGCGCTTTTCCGGTAAATATGATTGCGTCTTCTACAATCCTTCTGACATGATAAACATATCCTAAAAAGCACTCGATCAGACTAGTTTCGTGATAAACTTATCTTGATCACTAAAAGGTGTTTTTGGAACGGTATTGTTCGTATTATAGAGTGTGTAGATGAGTGTGAATGAAGCGAAAACTCACCTTCACATCGATGACAACTTACACCTGTAAACTCCAACAAGAATTCTGTAACATTTTCTTTTTTTCACATATCTATGAGTTCTTTGGTATCATCGCAATCTTTTGATATAATAATTTTCAATGCAAAAGAAACAATTTCAAAATCTTTTTTATTGAAGCCGATAAGGAGTTTTCTTTAGCTATATTCTTCAGAGATTTGTTTGATTGAAATTTTCTGAATAATAATTTAGTTGTCCACTTTTCCAAAACAGTTTCAAACAATGGCCAATGTAGATCTTAATTGTAACATTGTAGAAGGTCTTGGTATAGTGCTGATTAGTTGATACGCAGTTGAATCATGAAACGGACTTCTTGTCTTCCGGGGCCTTTTATGATACACGACATATAGTAGTTGGTTAGAATGATTTCTGATGTAAAAAAAATGAACTAGATAAAAATGCCCATGTAGCCACCTAAATAAGAAGCATTTCTTCAGGAATTGGAAGACGTAATTTGAACAAGCACAGGGATATCCTCGAAAATCGCGTTTATGTAGGTTTTCTCCTACTTTTTTAAATAAATATTCAGCAGAGTAATGATAAGATAAAAATTGACCGGTTGAGAGAAAAACAAAAGCTGATTACATTACGTATTCATTCATGTTCATCAAAAACAAATCATTTTTTTCACTTAAACACGCCG